AGACAGCTGTGCAATGAGAAAATAAGCTAATTGGAAAAAAATATATAATACATGTAGTGTATTTATGAAAAATTATTAAATTATAATATAGCTATAACTTTGTAGTTCTGTTTAGGCCAGCAGATAAGGCTTAGCTGGCCCTGGCGGCCCACCACTGCCCTTTAAACCCAGTAGTATTGTGAAGTGGATTGAACGTTAAACACCAAAAATCAATCTGTAACTTGTCTTTGTGTGAACTTTTTTCTGGTGTCGGTCTGGTAGGCTGGGCTTCACCTTTGAAAGATCAGCCATGCACATGTTTCTGTATCAATAAACTTTAAAATGCATAAACACGGTCACTAATATACATTCGTATTAGGGTGCATAGCTCACAGAATGGCAATAAAGCCAACAGAGTGCGGGTCGTGAATCTAAAAAAGCAATAAATATTAGATATTGTTATTTATAAGGATTAAATTGAGCTGCTGAGAAATTGCAATTGAACTGAGGAAACATATGTATCATCAGTTGTGCTTGGCCTTTGGATATGCATATGTCCTTTTTTTTCTCTTGTCCCCATAATTATTTTCTGCATATATATCTACCCATCTACAGCTCGACCATGTCTCTCTCTCTGCAGGTGTTGATTCGTGTCCATGCCTGCGGAGTGAACCCCGTGGAAACCTACATCCGGGCTGGGACGTACCCCCGTAAGCCCCTCCTGCCTTACACACCGGGCACAGACGTAGCCGGAGTGGTGGAAACTGTTGGAGAAGGAGTGACCGCAGTAAAGGTCTGAGAAAAAACACACACACACACAACAACAAAAAACAGAACTAACGGTGGACCTCATAGTTGACCTTATCCACGGTTTCAATGCAACCACAGTAAATCCATTCCACGTGTGTGGTGTGCAGGCAGGAGACCGTGTGTTCACCACGGCCACAGAGTCCGGAGGTTATGCAGAGTACACTGTGGCAGCCGACCAGTGTGTCCACAAGCTGCCCGATGCTTTACACTTCACCCAGGGTGCAGCCATAGGGATCCCCTACTTCACCGCCTACAGGGCTCTGGTTCAAAAGTAAGACCTCAGCGCTCAACCTGCATTCTTTCATTTCACTTTTTTTTTTGACTTCCATTTGTGCAGAAGTTTTATTTCATCAAAACCTGCTGAGTGGTTACTGAAGAGAGTTCACTCAGGTGGACAGCTTCATCACATCAAAACAACTCCCCCAAGTGGACAAAAAGATGAATTAATGCCGTTTTAGAGATAATAATGCAAAATGAGATTACATGTGCTTTTTTTTTTTTTTCCGCTTTCCGTCACCAACACCAGCACAAGTGCACTGGAAGTTACTTCGTAAGGACTTCACTTTAAAGTGAATGAAGTTGTTGTATAAGTATTATTTCCAAGAGTGTGCACTGTGATTCAGCTTTTTGAGTTGGAACCAGCTTCCACTAGAACAGGACAATGCTGAAAATAGTCCCGAACAAATACACCTAGTTATGTGTGTTGAAAGCATAGACTGTATGTAAGAAGGGGATGACGTCACCTGTTTGTGGACTGCAGTCCTGAATCCTTGAGCATGGCATTTAGCTGTTGGTTTTTTGCAACCACAAGTGACACGAGAAGGTGGAGCTAAGAACAACCAGAAACTCATTTTTAGTCAACCAAATAGTTACAATTTCCTTTCATGATCTAAAAACACAGTGAAAGGGTTAAAGTTGTAAGACAGACAACTCCCAGACCGGACAACGCTCTTGTAGAGACCTGTCAATCACTGTGTAGCCCCGCCCTAAAGCATACCCTGCTTTATGGTCTGTTTGACTCTAAATGGACCATAATTTACTAAATGAACATCATGCTGTATTGAAGAAGACTTGAAACTAGAGATTGAGACCATAAACTCATGTTTACAATGTTTACTGAGGTAATAAATCAAGAGAGAAGTAGAGTCATTTTCTCATAGACTTCTATACAACCAGAGGAGTCGCCCCCTGATGGTCAGTAGAGAGAATGCAGCTTTAAGACACTCCCCCAATGGCTTTTTAAAAAATGAAACAACAGTATGTATTTGTGAACATTCTTGAAGAGGTCTCAGGGTCGAGTGGGGAAGTCAGATTGCATTGGCCTTGTTGGTTTTAACCTTTGCATAGGATTTGTTTACAATAAGTAAAATATACAACAACACCAGACTTACGCTTTAAACAAGCCAGTCGAACAGATGTTATGACTCAAATGTGTTTTTACTGATGTGTGTTGCAGAGCCCACGCCAAAGCTGGAGAGACCGTCCTCATCCATGGAGGCAGTGGAGGGGTGACATTTTTTGTTTCTTCCTTTCCAAATATATATATATATATATATATATATAT